GATTGCTGACAATTTTTGATCTCCTAACAAATTTATTAACCGTAACAATCAGAAAACCGTCATTAAACCGTTTCTAGACATGTTTCGCCAGGATTTTCTAGGTTTGCTTGATAGGGCCAAATGGTTCGACTGCTGGCTGCACGTTGAATCGCACCATCACTACGAAATGCGTTCGTTGTGAAATGTGAGAGTTAATCTATTGAATGAATGAATATATTTGTGAAAATTTATTTGAATTCCGTCTAATTTCACGTACAACAATATGAAAGACAAGCGAATAGAATGCACATTAGCTGTTGTGATGATTTGAGCATATGATTGCATTGATTAGCATACGATTCATGAATAGATCACATAATGAAATGAGCATTGGCGCTGAATCACACGTAATAATTTGGCGATACCAATAGATTGTTGATACTTTTGAGTTGTGAAAATGTAAAGCATTTCTTATGCTCATCCCAGTTATCCTGATGCGTTCGTCGAAATTCACGTAATAACTCCTTGAGACTCTCCTAAAAGCACGTATAAATTCATCGATACGTTTAGTCAAAAGAATGCCGAGAAACTTTTTTTCGCGAATTCACAAAAATTCTACAGATGCAGAACTCAACTCGCACAATTTGTTGCCTATAACGTTGATAAGCTCAACAACATAGGAGGACGATACTCATTAGAGGTTTGATCTTTTCTGTCATCGTCAAATCAATGGTCGAGATCAGAATTTCATGAAGATGAATGATTTCCTACATCAAGGATGAAAGGGAGGATGTGGACGAAAGAGGAATGTGATATTCGTGATGTCAGTTAGATAAACTCGTAAGCTGTGTCTGCTGATCGAATAAATGAAAATAAGCTGAATATCATCAACAACTGAGATGAGACATCGATTCACCTTCACAAGTTTTTCGACTCGTCTTGTCATTATTCTACAAATATCGATAAGTAATCCAGGAATGAAATCTGGTACCGTATATGGGAAGCCCTACAAGAGAATAGAGATTAGCACCACATTTTGAAAAAAACTAGAAAGAAGAATAGAAGAATAATACTAGAAATACTTACAACTAGAAAGGAAGAATAATACTGAAAATACAAATTGTTGATATTGCTAAATGAATTTGATCGGTCTATATCATTGCCATCACCATGAGTGAATTTTAGAACGCGACAGAATAAGTGATGAACATTAAAAAACGACAACTTGAGTGGTAAAGTTAACAGAAGTATGAAGAGTAATTAGACAATAACCTTGACGACAGCACTCAAACCCAACGCTCCACCATGCTTGTTGTCTAAATTGGAATCACTTGCGAGTTTACGGTAATATGCCTGAAATACGACTTCTTTCCACGGGAGCGATCAAAAGAACGTATCAAATTGCTCAAAGCTTAAACGACATGAATACTCGTGAATACTAACTGAATTGCGACTGAAATGAATATTAATATGAAAAACTTACGATGAAGCTTGGACTGACAGAGAAATAACCACATTGTATAAATCCAGCAATGGATTCGGCTGCTGCTAGCCGTACCTCTACTTGTGGGTGAGTGATAAGATAGTTGATCAGCTGGAGAATTTTCTGAGGACGATCGTAGTTTTCGAAAACGAATAAATTCGAAAACACTAATACTTGACAAAATTTCAGCAGGGAAACTTTCGATTTCCATGACCTACTGTAGTGCATCGTCTGAAAACAAGAATGATTTTGAGTCGAATGGCTTGAAGAAATGATATACGACTTTCTAATTGGATTTCGCGTTTTATCAATTAAACCCAACTACAACTGTGAGAGGCCAGTTTTGCTTACTAGGAACTTCCCGAGCGCAAAAACGATTTTCTCGCCAAGAACAACAGTCATGCACTGTAGCTTTTGAATGCTTATGATTTCAAATTCTCACTGAGTGTTTCTCAATGAGAATATGAAGAATCACAGTTTCTATCATAATTTCGTTCATCCAAAGAATTTCTTTTTAACGCTCTTCCATAACTGATCCGAATCAAAAACCTTTTCGATGACATCCATCACGAAGGTGGCATCGCCCTCATCGATGACCGAGTTTGATAGACCAATATGCAAATTTTGATAACATAACAGTGCTAGTTCTTGATCTGAATCATTCTCGAAATGCGCCAACAATGGCAGAAGACAGAAAACCGAACGACGTACGACCGCAAAATTTGCTTTGAAATTCCACAATAAGTATTGCATCAGTGCTTTGAAATAAATTTTCGCCTGAATTAAGCAGTTTTTAAACGTCGGTTAGTTCATCGAATATTTTTTGAAAATAGCTCAGTTTATTATAAATTCATTAAATTCATTCAAGGATTTTTGATACTTTTCAGTTCCGTTCTCAACTGATCAAACAGCTCAAAATCGACTGACCTGTTTGATTTCAGGTTTCTCTTCACCAATAAATTCAACTGTTTTCGTGAACCTTTCATCAACAGTCATGGTTTCGTTCCATAGTATACTCACCTGAAACATATTTACCGGATGAACTGCTCTATGTCATTCGCCTTTCCGCGATACATTGATGACAAGCTTTGATCAGTTGAGTAGATCAGGCGATTCAAGGAATCAGTTCAAGGAATCATTGAACTTACAAAACGTTGAAAGCTTGCGATCACAAGATCGATTGTGATGTGATGGAATCTTGGAGGAATAACTGCTTTATCCGTGTGAAATCCTTTAATATCCAGGAAACATGCGTTGGAGTATATTCTAAAAGTGAATTCGAGTAATGAGGCCAGTCAAGAGGTTCCGATATCGAGGTTACATTCACCATTTAAAAGGACCAGTTGATATGACAGCCAAACAAGATCAAATAATTCAACACCAAACAACAGTAAAATGTCAATTAGTAACTGTCTAATCGAGTAACTGGGTTTTAAGTGGTAATTTTAAAATTTCCATTGCCTACTTTGCAACTACTTCTCGTCCAGCCACATACGGCATCGACATGAACTGCTGCGTGATAATCATAGCACGATTGTGAATATCAGTTCCACGCCATGCACCAGCACTTGAGGCAGCAAGCAGCAATGAGAAGCGACTGCAACAGATTGGGGGCCATTTCAATTACTTCGTTGAACACCCTCAGAAATGAGTTGCGCAAAGTGTTCATAGACATAAAAATCAGATATTGGTGGCATATCAAACACAGCGATTGATTATTCAGCAACTCACATTTCCACCTGAACCGGACTAGTGATCGGTTTTAGACACACATTGAGGAGTGTCTCAATAAGCCACGGATAGCGATTCAGATCTGAGCCAGCAAAGATAATCTGCAATTGAAAATGATAATGCGATAATGTAATGAATGAATGTTCCAAACAATACGCCAGAGAAGGAACGAACTATTGTACAATACCATCAAACGTTCACGAAACTGAATGAGATATAGGTGAAGACTTAAAAGAAGAGGATATCAACACTGAATACTCTTTTTTTTTTGAGAATAGACTACTTGTTACAGGTGATAACGATCCGAGCGAACAGTCATCTACTGATTGTTATAACGACTAATCATAAGAATCAATTTAGCAATTCGGTGACGTGGATTGCAGATCATCCAATTCAGCGAAGGATTGCAGATCGCACACCATCTCACCTGAAGTGCCTCCACCCAATTCGCGAACGAATCAGGCGTCAACTCCTCGAAAGCACTCGCTAGGATTGGTCCAATCCATTGCCACATTGCGTTCAACTTTTCGAATGTCCAATAACGTGAGCCACGAATGATGCCAGCAAAGAATTCAGCCGCGAAACGACGATCTCTCACCTTCTCACTGACAACCATCGACTGGAAGACGGGCTTGAATATGGGTAGAAGGATATCGTTGTAGTTTCGGAAGAGCATCTGAAAGCAGCAAATTTGTTCGTAAATCCGTAAAATTCCAACTCATATCCAACGAAATTTGCACGTATTCTA